CTAAACCTTAAACCCTATTAATTAACAGGGTACCCTTACATCTGAGGCTTTGGGAGCAGATTGGTCAGGTCTTGACAGGCCTCAAGAGTCTCTTCAAACAGATGACTGCTAAGCAGTCAGAATGTCTTACGAGAACTCCCGACAAGTCATGGTCTTAGCATCTTGGAGCTGATCGCTTAGAAGAAGGACATGTCAAAGGAGAATATATATATATATATGTATATATAAACAGTTATATCCCTTAACAAGCTATATATAAGGGGTCCTGCAATCCAATTGGCGTGTCCTTCTTATAAATCCCTACACCAACCCTATATAAAGTTCATTTGAGGCCTTTCCTCGATTCTCTGTTGAAGCTGTTTGCGGACGCCACCAAGCAAGACCTGCTGATGAACAACTATGTTGTGCGATCAAAGAGACTTATCTTGCTTAGCAGCCTCTTGACTTCCCATTTACATATGATATAATTGGGCCCCATAGCTTAGGTCTGTGAAAGCCTCTGCGTCATCGACCAAGCCGACGACAGAGCCCAAAGGGAAATCTGCGAAGGACAAGACGAAGAAGAACCCTCCCAAGCCCAAAAAAGATCCCAAAGAGACAAAGCCCTCAAAGAAAGCCGCCAAAGGTGGTGACTGATATGGATGCATATGTATCCATCCTGCATAGGTAGACCCAATCTGACCCAGCCTTACTACACACACGAGTAATCGATCTAGCTAGACATATATAGCTAGTTATAATTAAACAGTTCCGAGATATGGATGAGTCATTGCGCGTGTGTGTCGCTGTGCTACTAGCTGGCCGCTGAATGCAGCGGCAATTCGATCGAGCTAGATCATGCAGGGGGATTCCGCAAAGTTGCAAAGACTACTCGGATCAACGTTGTACCAACTGCACAAAGCACATGTATAAGCTAGCTGTAATAAATCTACGATTTGGAGGTCTCCTACAAGGATGCCAGGATGACAAAGGCCGGGTGGTCAATTATATTACAACCCTTAATTACTATACTAATACTCCCCCTATAACCCTTGCAAGGCCTATGTAACCCTATGCCCCAACCCTGCCAGGCTCTGACATCAGCGAAGACGCTGAAGCATCGGATGATGACGACCTGGCTGATGAGCTACTAGTAGGCTTTGAAGCTGGGGTGGCTTGGTGGAGTCTAGCTGTATTTTCAATGCTGTATAATAATATATAGTATATAGGGGGTCAAGCTTGATTGAATTTAATTTTGATGTTAAGGCGGAGAGTGCCCGAAGGGTGGTTCGATTGGCGCAGGTTGCCAACAGGAAATTACGAAAACATGGTCATGTGTCATGGAAGTTTATGAAGGTTTGGGATGCCGAGGGAACCTTTTTTATAGGCTTCGAGGGCTACCTATATATAGCTACGGTATAGGCTGGGAAATTATAACAGTTTATTTATAATACATATGCATAGGTTTATGGGGTTCGAGCTCAACTTAATCTAAGGAGCCTTTGATCCGGAGTTGTCTATGCTGGCAGCTTGCGGAACAGGGGGCAAAGGCCATCTTAATGCTTCACGAAATCTCCATTCTTTGATTGGCCAACAGAATCGTCAGCTTCCAATCCCTGTACACCTGATATCGACACCAGTCCGCGTGATCAAAAAGGGTAAACCTCGGAGAGACAAAATTCAATTTCCTGCTCTTCTACCCTCTTCTTGGTTGCGTTTCTCGTTGCAATCACGTGGTGAGGCCTTCTTGGGAGGCTACACACTTGATGCAGTTGAGGCCTACATGGGTTTGTTTGAGGATTATTGGGAGAAATTTCAGCAGGCCCATCCTGAATTCCATTTGTTCAGTCGCCCTGACTTTCACCGAACCCGATCACGCTGCATTCCATGCATGATCCATGGAGATGAAGGTCGCGGAAAATGCAAAAGGCCAGTGATGGTATTGTCGATACAACCGCTGATAAGTTGGAAAGGCCCCTCCTTTATCAATACCTCCGGGTGCTTGGGCATGAACTTGGAATTCCACAGGTCGTATACGATTAATGAGGCCAGGCTTATATATATTCTAGATATCATGAGATCTATTTATACATGTTATATGTAAACCCCACTATAGCCTGGCCTCATTAATCATAAATGCATGGTTTGTATAAGTCCTAAACGCCCTTCAATCCTGTAAACCTTAAACCTATAGCGATCATGAATGATTGCCGATCAGGCACTCGCTAACAACACGAATGTTGTATACAGTGATTCCCAGCGAGCTCTACTGTGGTGATGAAACCTTGGACACCTTAATGGAGGCAATGGTGAAGGATCTGTCTAAAGTTTACGAGGATGGTGTGGATGCCATTTGGCTTATTCAATCGGGATCTGTGTTATATAGCCCTGAAATTTCAAGCCTAATCCCTAGCTCAACCCTCGATCAGACCCTGAACTGTATTAAACCCTATATGTAACTATATAGAACCCAATATAGTTCCTATACAAAACCTACCTGCAACCCCACTAAGGTAGTCTTCAAGGGGTCAACGTTGACTTTCCGCCTCGTGATCGTGGCTGTCAAAGGCGACTGGCCTTATCTGCGCAAGGCTATGCATCTCTCAACTGGGTTTTCTTCAAGAAGGGTCTGTCACCTTTGTGACCAGGACGCTAGCACCTAATTAGTACTATAGGCTGGGAATCCTAGCATATTATATAGGTTATATATATAGGGTTATTCATATTGGGTTATCGCAGGGATTGTATGATCCTCGTGGGCGCTTTTCATCATAGGAATGGTTCGACTTGTCAGCCAATACGTTTCGAGAGTCAGATCGAAGAGATCTTCCTAGCCCGTTCAAAGTCAACCATCGACCTTCACCTCTACGACAATTGCCTACAATTGGAAACAATGCCACACTTATACGGCCAGACCCAGCCCACACGTACGCAATTGTGGGCTGGGGTAAGGATGTATGTGCAAGTGGGCTGATCATGCTCTACCACCTGAAAATCATTCGGGGCAGATCCTTACAAGCAGCTTTGGACAATGGCTTCGAACTCTTTCGGGCATACTGCTACCAGCGCGGCAAGAGCACATCCATCACCCATTTTAGCTTAAAGACCCTCAAGATCGAGAAGCTCCTATCTTGATTTATCTTATGTTTTCCAATGTATGTGTATAGCAGGAAACCATCCAATCTTATAAGAGCGTGGCCTTGCATCAACAATCCTAGGCTGTCTCAGTTCCCAGGGGGCTGCGGGAAGGGCCATGACACGGGCCTCATGAATGCTTGGCTGGAGGACTTGCTATGCAATGGAGTTGATGAATCAACGATTGCCACCCGGACTGCTTATAAGAACCCATAGGGCATTTATAAACCCTTAAAAACCCTAAACCCTTATTAAACCCCTAAACCCTTAAAAACCCTAAACCCTTAAAACACCCTAAACCCTTGAAACCCCTAAACCCTATATAAAAACCCTAAACCCTTATAGGATTTAGCGATTATAGGATATATATATATACATATAGGATTACAAGCTAGGGTTTAAATACAGCCGGGTTGACCCCTATATAAGATTATTAGATCCCGTACATTAACAAAGGTTCCGGAGCATCTTGATTTGTTTCGGCTTCTTCGCTGGACCCTGCAAGCTGTGGGACTACACTTTCGAACATTGTATTCTGGTGGCATTTGGCTTTCCAGGGCCCAGGCTTCGACAGCTGTGGAAGCAGGGTGGAAGATGCTTGTTCCCAGATCCAATAGCAGGCAACTTCTTATAATATAATGTTACCCAGTATAATTGGGAAGTTGTCTAGATGGATGGTGATCATGTTAAGTAGCAGGCTGGCTACACACTGCTTGCCCGAGCTACCGCGGAGCGACAATGGCCTTTATTCAGGATACGTCCCAAACTGCATATGCAGGGGGAGCTCATGCGCCTTGCAAGGAAATAACATGGATTTTCCCATACGTACATGCCCTGAACCCTACATAATCGAACTAGCCAGCCCTATTATTAACTGTAGACCCTTTATGTCATGCACTAAGCTGGGAGATGGACAACCAACTTGCCCGTGGCGTGGTGGATATTGCCAATGTCATGAGCCGCTAGCTTGAACAAAATAAAAGTTTGATTTTGGAATGGCAAGTTGTATAACAAGAAATAAATAACCCTTCCCTTCAAAACGAGAATAATCACAAGGTTGGTGCACTTGGGCTGATGAGGATATGGTGGGCCGGGTATCGAGGGTAAGCAGAAGATGTGCGGCGTCTACTGTTGTTAGCCGAACTCTGGCTAAATGCTTAATGCATTACCGACGGCTCTGGAACAAACACTTTGGCATTCGGTAGATCTGCTGGGTCCCTGGCTGGATGGATCTCGATCTTGCCGCCGAAAATGTGCGTGTTGTGCGCACTGGGGATGGGAGAGGGACGGGTTGGGTACTCGAAATCCTTACATGAACCTCCACAACCTCAACCCAAAGCCCCAAGTGAATGCCTCGGACACAAATTAAAATAATCGGCCATTAATTTGGCATTGTCACTCTTCTTGTGGAAGTGTAACACTTATTTTCCGTAACACAAAATAACATATCAAATGAACCCGTAGGT